ACCAGGAGCCTGGGAGGGACAGACGGGCAAGGTAAGGACAGGAAATGTGACCAACTCGAAGGGTGAAGGTTGTCCCTGCAGACCAGAAACAAAAGCACAAGATCATTTTAGTCAATGGCCAAACCCTAAGAAAAAACCTGAACAGGGTAATAGACTCTGCAAGAAAGGCGTGCTTTCCAAGAATCTGGGTCCATACTAAGGCCTTAAAGCTCCTGGCTCACTCTTTTTTGGAGGTGCACCTGCAACTAAAACCCGTCAGGTTCTTGAGCTTTTTAAAAGATTTGTATTATTTTAAAGCAATCTCCACACCAATGTGGGGCTCAAACCTACAACTCCAAGATCAAGATCATGAATTTGCAATTGCAACAGACCCGACTGGCTGACGAGGAAAGGGAAATGAAGGTAAAAAGCCCACTGGATTACTCAAGCCTGACAGGTCCTCACCAGGCCAATGAACAGTGGTCAGGAAATAACAAGATGTTCCCTTATGTTACCCATTATTTACATTTACGCCCCTGAAAGGCAGCCAGCTGTTGCTCCTGCAGCAGAGACGGTTCCTTGGCCCAAGAGCAAGGCTGGCCGAGACAGGTCTCCAGGACTTCTCGTTTCGCAGGAGACGGTAAGCACAGAACCGACCAAACCCAGGTATAGATGTGCGCTTACGACCGGCACAGGGGACAGCGACCGCACGGAGAAGACAAAGCAGGTCCCTGAGTCGACTGCCCAAGATGCCGGGTGGCTTTTCAGGGAGCTTCCTCAGCACACGGGGTCTAAGCTGCCTGCCCATCCACAGTCCAAGAGCCAATGTTTTTCCAGAAGTTGGCCCTCAAGTTCATTTGGAGGCAAAGCCTGACCCAGCCAGTGTGTAAGAATGTTCCTGCTCTGGTGCTAAATGTCACCTTTGGAATGCAGGCTCTGCCTCAGGAGTCATCAACACAACATGCCTAAGATCCAAACAACTCTGAATTCTGTAATGCATCTAGCCCCAAGGGTTTCAGGAAAGGGACTGAGCCAGTACTTGGTCCTCCCAGCTAAATTCAAAACTCTTCAGACATGCTTTATTTTGTTCTTTTTTTTTTATTATTTATTTTTTTTATTTTGTCCTTTTAGGACAGCTCCTCTAGATGCCGAGAATGGCTGTTCCAAGGGAAGGACTCAGGAGGGAGGGTGCACTCCGGGGGGGGGTCCTTGGCCTTCAGAGAGCTCTGCGGGCAGGGATGCCCGGACATCCCTGGGCTGGAAGACACTCCAGTGTCCCTCCCACGGGCCAGAGGAGACGGTGGAAGGCAGTGGAGTGAGGCAGTGCTTCCAGGTACGTCTGCCAACTCAAGGTTTATACACAGGATGGCTTTTTTCTCCGGACGACGCGAACAATAGCCTTGTGTTCTAAGTCAGGCCGCAGACACAATCTTCCTGAACCCCATAAAGTGAACAGGATGAAAAGGATTTCAATTAAGAGGTATCAGTCACCAGAAACAGTTCTTCATTCAACAAAAACCCAAGGTACATGGCACTGTGTGCCAGGTACCAGGACAGTCGTAGAACACAGTACAGCTGGACCCTGAGCTCACTGGAGGAGACAGATGGCAAAGGCCCAGAGCCATCGTGGATGCAGTGAGAGCAGCGGGGACACAGATGGCACTTGGGGCTGGTGGGTGCGGGCTGGAGGCACAGGGAGGGTTCCCTTTCTGAGCCAGGACAGGGTGTGGAAGGGCAGCATGCAGCCTGGCTGTGGGCTACTGGGGTGTGACCTGCTCTCTCCAGAGGTTCACTCTGCTTATCTCTAAAACAAGAGGAAAGCGAGAGGCTGCCAGCAGGGTGGGGCAATGATGCCAGGAAGCTCGGAGCTACTGGACTGCAACCTGTGCTCCAACAATGCGCACTGGGCTTTAAATGCTCTGCGCAGGTTTGGTCTTTACCCTAAAGGCCTGTTGCAGACTTTAGCCAAAGGGGAATGTGAAGAATGTGGGTTAACTCAAGAAGCAGACATGCTTTGTCCCTGCATGAGGAGTCCCAAGAGGCCTGTCTCTCAGGATCACCAATAAGGTGGTGACCCACTGGTGTCAGGGTGCAGGATCAGGGCCCTGAGTAGTTTTCTTTGGGCTAATACTGGGTTATACCCATCACAAGACTGGGAGAAGCTGAAGCATAACTGAGATCTTGTGTACTCTCCTGCCACTCACATGTTGGACACACAGCGCTCCCACAGCTGCATTTCCTACTGATGAGAAAAGACACTTGGCCACAGTGAACTTGACAACTCAGCCAGGCCACATGGAGCCCAGCTCATGGCAATTGCAGATGGCCTGCAATTTTCAAGGCTGAGCAGTGCTGGCCCATTCCTGTGGTACCACGTCCCAAAACGCATTATGCAGCCCAACGTTTGAGCCAAGTTGGTAGAAAGGAAGCATGAGGGAGAGGAAGAGAGAGAGAGAATCTTAAACAGACTCCACGCCCAGCGCAGAGCCCAACGCTGGGCTCCATCTCACAACAGGGAGATCATGACCTGAGCCAAAATCAAGAGTAGGACGCTTAACCAACGGAGTCACCCAGGTACCCTTAAAAATTGTTTTTAGGGGGCGCCTGGGTGGCTCAGTCGGTTAAATGTCTGCCTTCGGCTCAGGTCATGATCACAGGGTCCTGGGATCGAGCCCCGCATCGGGCTCCCTGCTCAGCGGGAAGCCTGCTTCTCTCTCCCACTCCCCCTGCTTGCTCGCTCTCTCTCTCTCCAATTAAATAAATAAAATCTTAAAAAAAAATGTTTTTAGTACTGCTAAATTCCATACTTGCAGAGCTAGGTTGTCGTCATTTAAAAAACCTCAGGGTCCCACACATCCAAGGAGCTATGATGACAGAGCCAACTGCTGGGGGCAGCGGGGAGCCCCAGAAGAGCTGTTTTTACCCAGGGCCAGGTGAGGGCTGGGCAGGGGGTCAGCACACCCTAGCAAGAGGTACCAACCCTGGCTGATTTTTTATGAGGGTGACCAATGTCACACAATTCAATAGTACTAAGGAGCATGTGATGATAGCCAACGTCTCCAGAGGATGGACATACGCTGCCATGGACAGTTTCTTCCCGCCCACAGGACTCCGGGGTTTGTTGCTCACTCAGTTGTAGAAGTGCTGTTTATCCAATTCATATACAACACAGAAGGGAGTGCTGTGAGGGTCTGAGGGTAAACTTGTTGAAACCTGCAAAACACCCAACCTTTGCACTTCAATCTACTAGAAGCCATACTATCTACTCCCCATAATTTAAATACAAAACGGACAAGACAGGCCATTAGACATTCAAACACCTTTGAGAGGCACCTGGGTGGGAGCTCAGCATGGGATGTCACAGCCCTGAGGGGGCATCTTTGGAGGAGGGCGAGTTGGCTCTGGGCGAGAGGGCATCACATGGGAGCTGTCCCAGCAGTGACCTGGTGGGGGATGGGAGTGGGGGCTGAGGGGTGAAAAGGGGTTCACATTAGGGAGGAGGATCGGGTATACATGGGGGGCAAGGAAAACTGAACAGATAAGTAAAAGTACCGAGGATAATGAAAGCGGAGATCTAATTGTGAGGAAACATCAGATAAACCCAAATGGAGGGGTCTGCCCGTGATCTTCCAGATGGTCAAGGTCATGAAAGTCAAGGAAAAATGGGGCTGGTCACAGAGGGGAAAAGACCAAAGGGACATGATAACTACATGTAACACAAGATCCTGGCCTGCATCCTTTTCTATAAATTATTGGGACAACTGACAAAGCTTGAATAAGGTTGGGATTCCATGGTAGTGGCATATTAATGTCACTTCCTGACTCTGAGGGTTGTCCTGGGGGGACACAGGAAACTCTCTTGTTCACTGGAAACACACACTCCAGTGTGCAGGGGTCATGGGCATCATGGCAGCAACCTATTCCCTGACAGTGCAGGAAGAAAATGTATTTGCACTGTTCTTGGAACATTTCTGTAAATCTGTTGATTATTTCAAAATAAAAAGTTAATCATGCACAAGCAACCTATGAGAACAAATGAAGAATAAAAGCTTCTTGGTTACAAAGTGCACTCGAAGGTAAAAGGATCAGGAATGAAATATAGCCCAGGCTGGCTTTTATGAGAAAAGAAAGTGTTGGTAAAGACAATAGATAAAATGTTGGCTACTAGCTGGGTTGGGAGCAATACCATGAAGATCCGCCATGAAGTATTTCTTTGAACTAATATGGTTCCCCACAAATGTCAGTCCCACAAAATGAGCAGTTCTCAACCAAAGTGTGAAGGTCACAGATGATGAAGAAAGACTGAGGAACTGTCACAGATCAGAGGAGACTAAGGAGACAGAATGACTAAATGCAATGTGGGAGGCTGGACCAGGAAAAGGGCATTAGGGCAAAGACTGGGGAAATCCGAATAAAGCCCGTTGTTCAGTTCAAGAGCACTGTACCAAGGTTCATGTCCTGGTTTTGATCATTGCATTGTGGTTCTGAAGGTGTTGACATGACAGGAAGTGGGGAGAAGGGTACAGGAGAATGGGCTGTCCTATTTTTTAACTTTTCTGCAAATCTAAAATTAACTCAAAATAAAGTTTTGTGGGGTTTTTTTTTGTTTTTTTGTTTTGTTTTGTTTTGTTTTTTAACAAAAGGATTTGCGGTGGCAGAAGCCTCCATGGGGATTACTCTGAATGCTTAAAACAAATAAAACAAAATTGTTATTATTCTATTTTTCTAATTCTATCATCTTTTCCTTTTCCAAAACAACTGAATGCCACAGTGCTTAAGAACAATGCAGCTGCTTGTTACTCACTGGCAACAGTATTACTCCAGATACAAACTGCAAAATACAAGGATGTGATACACCAGAGAACAGGCACTGGCAAGGCAGAAAGGAAGCATGTGAACCATTCACTGAGGGAGATGTGACAGGCATGACAGTCCACGACACACATCAGGTTGAGCCAGGACCAGAGGGGCGTGGTTGTCATGGTCCTGGACCCACAAAAAATGTCTTCTCAATGGCCTACCTGTCTTTTCCTTGATCTCACAGAGCACACTGAAGAGAGCTGGCTTCATCCGATGGCAATTCAGAGCATGCTTTCTGAAAGAGAAAGCACCAGAAGAGCGTGTTGAAAAAGAGAAGTTATCCTGTCCCCGAGGGTGAAGACCCTTCATATGGACTCTGCCAGTTCTGTTGAAAGTCGCCCTTATGAAGTTATAGTACAAAAGCATTTCGTCTGAATTCCATTTTGCAAAATTCAAATGGAGCAATATACAAATACTCAAACCGTTTCCCTTTACATGTAGAATTTTAAACAGTGCAAATTTAAATAATGCAAATAACTCGTCAAGAGCTACGAATTTTCAAGGTCCAGGGATTGATTGATTGATTGATTGATTGATTGATTGATTTTTAAAGATTTTATTTATTTATTTGACAGAGAGAGACACAGCGAGAGAGGGAACACAAGCAGGGGGAGTGGGAGAGGGAGAAGCAGACTTCCCGCTGAGCAGGGAACCCGACACCATGAGGTGAAGTTAGACAAGGGGGGCCACCTCGAAGAGCCTTGTCAGTGAGGGGAATGACTCTGGCTTTTGTTTGTCTGTGATGGGAACTGTGATCGGCAGAAGGATAGCCCCCCAAGATGTCCACGTGCTGATTCTCAGAGTAAGTTACAAGGGAAAAAGACCTCTGTGGGTGTGATTAAGGTTAAGGACCCTGAGATGGGGCGATGAGCCTGGATTACCCAGATGGGCCCTATCTAATCACACAAGTCCTTAAAAGTGGACAACTTCTTCCAGCTGTGGTCAGAGAGACGGTGACCTAGAGTCAGAGACACTATGCTGTTGGCTCCAAAGGTGGAGGAAGAAAGTACAAGCCAAGGAATGCAGGTGGCTTTAACAGGCTGGAAAAGGCAAGGAAATGGACTCTTCCCCTATTTCCTTCAGAAGGAAGGCAGTCCTTAGAACACCTTGATTTTAGCCCAGGGAGACCCATGTTGGACTTGTACCCTACAGAAATGGAAGGCAATAAATAAATTTGTGTTTTAAGCCGCTAAGTTAGTGGCCATTTGTTACAGTGGCAACAGAAAATCATTACAGGGAGCAATGGGGATTTTACAGAGTAGTTATCACATGATATGAATTGCATTTTTTTAATTAGTGTTGATTTTTTTGATATGTAATTCACATACCATAAAATTCACCCTTAAAAGTATACATAAAATTCAGTGGCTATTAGTAAATTCACGATGTACAACCATTACCACTATCTATTTCTACAACACTCTCCTCACCCCCAGAAGAAACCCTGTTCCCGTCAGCAGTCATTCCCCCTTTCCCCCTCCTCCTCCCACCGAGCAACCACTAACCTTTCTGTCTCTACAGTTTGTCTCTCCTGGACATTTCATACAAATGGAATCACACCGTATGGGTCCTTTTGTGGCTTGCACCTATCCCATAGCATGTTTTCACGGTTCTTACAAGTTGTTGTATATCAGCGCTTCATCCCTTTTTAGGGCCAAATAATATTCCATTGTATGGATATAATTTGTTCACCCATTTATCAGTGGATGGACATTTGGGTTATTTCCACTTTGGGCTATTATGAATAATGCTACTATGAACATTTATGTGGAAGTGTTTGTGTGAACACGTGTCTAGGGAGAGCTGCGGAGTCATATGGTAACTGTTTAACTTTCTGAGCAAATGCCAAACTTTTATAAAGTGGCTGTACCTCGGGTGCCTGGGTGCCTCAGTTGGTTAAGCGACTGCCTTCGGCTCGGGTCACGATCCCGGAGTCCCGGGATCTAGTCCCACATCGGGCTCCCGGCTCAGCGGGAAGCCTGCTTCTTCCTCTGACCCTATCCCCTCTCATGCTGTTTCTCTCTCTCTCTCTCTCTCAAATAAATAAATAAAATCTTAAAAAAAAATTTATAAAGTGGCTGTACCATTTTCCATTCCCATCGCAACTGATGAGGGTTCCAATTTCTCCACATCCTCACCAACACTTGCTATTGTCTTTTTTATTATAGTCACACCAGTGGGTGTGAGGTAGTAGTTCATTGTGGGTTTGATTTGCTTTTCTCTAAAGACTGATGACACTAGGGCGCCCGGGTGGCTCAGTCGTTAAGCGTCTGCCTTCGGCTCAGGTCATGATCCCAGGGTCCTGGGATCGAGTCCCGCATCGGGCTCCCTGCTCTACGGGAGGCCTGCTTCTCCCTCTCCTGCTCCCCCTGCTTGTGTTCCCGCTCTCGCTGTGTCTCTCTCTGTCAAATAAATAAATAAAATCTTTAAAAAAAAGACTAATGACACTAAACATCTTTTCATGTGTTTATTGGCCATTCTTCTTTGGGGAAAGGTCTATTTAAATCCTTTGCTCTTGGGCGCCTGGGTGGCTCAGTCGGTTAGGCGTCTGTCTGCCTTCCGCTCGGGTCATGATGCCAGGGTCCTGGGATCGGATCCTGCATCGGGCTCCTTGCTCAGCGGGAAGCCTGCTTCTCCCTCAGCCTGCCTCTCCCCCTGCTTGTGTACTCTCTCTGAAAATAATTTTTTTAAAAAAATAAATCCTTTCTTTAATGGGGTTATTTGTCTTTTTATTGTTGAGTTGAGGTAAGAGTTCTTTATATATTCTGGATACTAGACTCTAATCAAGTATCTATTATACGAGTTGTCTTTTTACTTTCTTGATAGTATCCTTTGAAGCACAGAAGTTTTTGTTTTTTTTAAGATTTTATTTATTTATTTGACAGGGAGAGACACAGCGAGAGAGGGAACACGAGCAGGGGGAGTGGGAGAGGGAGAAGCAGGCTTCCCGCGGAGCAGGGAGCCCGATGCGGGGCTCGATCCCAGGGCCCCGGGATCACGACCTGACGCCCAACGACTGAGCCACCCAGGCGGCCCATGAATCGCATTTTTAAAAGATCACTGTGGCTGCTCTGAGACCAGAATGGAAGGCAAGGGGTGGAACCAGGAACACAGTCTGGAGGCTACTACAGCTGGAATAGTCCAGAAATGCTGCTGGCCTAGCTTAGAGTTATGGTAATAGACATGAAAAGTGGATAGATCTTGGGCCTTCTGGCTGGCTCAGTCAGTGGAGCATTTGACTTGATCTTGACATCCTAAATTTGAGCCCCACATTGGGCATGAAGCCTAGTTTAAAAAAAAGAAAGAAAAAGTAGATAAATCTTTGACTTCATTGATGGAATCAACACGACCTTCTAAAAAAGTGGTGTGGGATTTTGGGGAAAGAGGAGATTCAAGGATAACTACTAGTTTTGGGCCTGAGCAACTAGATGAAAGGAGATACCATTAACTACTATACGGGAGACTGGAAGGCAGCCGGTTTAGGGAAGAAGGGTCTGGAAAGCAGAGCTGTGCTTTGATCAGGTTACACTTGAGATACCTATGAGCTATCCAAGAGGAGGTATCAAGTAGGTAGACGGGCACATGGACAGGGACTCAAGGTTGGAGATAAGCAATATAAAGATGGGAAGTCCTGGGCATAGAGATGGCACTTTAAGCCACAACACTTGAGGAAATCACCATAATAGAGTGTAGAGAGGGGTCCATGTCCCAGGCCCAGGTCCATGGACTTAAAGAAGTCAAGAAGAGAAGAACTTACAGAGGAGACTGGGACTGAACTGCCAGTGAGGAGGACCCAAGAAAAACAGATTCAAGGAGAGAAGAGCAATCTGTGAAAAATGCTTCTTAGAGGCAAAGCAAGACAAGAACCCAGGAGAAACCTTGGACTTAGCAACATGAAGGTCACTGGTGACTCAGCAGAGGGACGAGAAGGTTGGGAGAGAATGGATGGAGGAGGGGAAGTGGAAGCAGCAACCACAAACTCTTTGATATTTGATCATAAAGGAGAGTAAAGAAATGCAGGAGGTGCTAATAGAAAAGGTGTATTAAGCAGGTTTTTTATTTTCTGTTTTTTATTTATTTACCATGCTGCCCTCATGTTCACAAGAATTATTACTTCATCTCTGCTAGTCAGCTGGAGCGTTATGGACCTTCTTTCCTGCCTCACAGTCATGTTATGTCTTCCTTCCTTCCTTCTTTCCTTCTTTCATCCTTCCTTTTCCCCCCTCCCCTTTCTTTTCTTTAAGTATGCTCCATGCCCAGCAGCGTGGAGCCCAACATGGGGCTTGAACTCCTAACCCTGAGATCAAGACCTGAGCTGAGATCAAGAGTCGGGCACTTAACCGACTAAGTCACCCAGGCAAGTGCAAGACTCTGATGGGTGGCCTGTCCCACCCTGAATTCCTTACTTCCTCCACTGTTCCCTTTAAAGCATTTACTATGGCTTGCCTGGGCATGAGGAAGGTCTCAACTTACTGTTTTCAGAAACTCCAGGCCCACGCTGTACTTGGCATACTAGCTGAGCAAAGACTCACTGAACTGAACTGAAGAAAAGGTAGAAGCTATATATGTCAAACTGGCAGAGAACAGAAACAGAAAGTTTGAAGGTAGAGCTCTGACATTTCTAGACTTAAACTGGAGCAAATAGAGAAGTCAAAAATTGGGGTGAGAACTGCTGGATTCCACCATCAAAGAAGGTAGCAGAAGCCAAGGGAACACAGAGCTCTGCTGGGAGCCCCTCTTCTTGGTCTCTCTTCTAGGGCCAAGGACACAGTGGGTACCCATCCACTCTAGGAATGAGGAGAATTGTTAAGGGGTTTAATAGTACTGCATGAAAGAGAGAAATAAGATCAAAAAGGAAAATGGCCAAAGGACACTAGATTTGGGCAGGAGGAAGTTATGCATAAAAGAGAAAAACTGCTTTAGAGTGAAAAAGAATAAGAGCCCTTAAACCACTGGGGGGCTCAATCTGAAAGATAGGCGATAAATGAGTGTCACAAGACATTTCTGAAGAATAGATGGTAGACAGGAGCTAATGACTATTGAGCTTTCTTCTGATCCAGGGTCAATACCTTAGAAAGGTTTGAATACTTTGAGGAGTACTTATACAAGGAACAGAACAAACTTTATGCTCACTCCTTGTTTGGCAAGGAATTCAAGGCCATGCTCCATTGGACAGCAGCTAAGGCACGCAGTCACCCCATCTGAGTCCCCCTTCGAAGGCTGTGCCCCCCACTC